GTCACTCTCTGCCACCCCGACATAGTCCAGACTGTCCTCAGTGCCTCAGGTACCCACACAGAGCTGTGGTGGTGGGCGCCGTGGCACATCTGAGGGCTTCTAGCTCCTCCCTGCCAAGCTTCTGTGCGGCCCCTGCAGGACCCAGCCCTCTGCCCCTCTTCTCCCTCAGATGTCTGAGGGAGACCCCTGCTGTCTGACCCCTGCCCTGCTGTCCTGGGTACCACTGGGGCCCCAAGAGGCCTCAATCCAGGACCTTGTCCTGGGGGACCCCCAATCTTGGGAAGACAGGTCTAGAGAGAGAGATCCCCGACCTGGTGTGGTCAGGAGTGGGCCAGAGGGAGAGGAGTGAGGCAGCCCAGAGGAGAAGCAAGGGCTCTGCTGGGGCAGGCTGCAGGGCTTACTGGAGGAGGAGTTGCTGGAACTCGGTCTGAAACAACGAGCAGAAATTTTTTAAAGCAGAAGACAGAGGGATGCAGTGAGCAAGATGGCATTGGAGACCCCTGCCAGGCCTGGCCTCAGCCCCACCCATCCCCAGGCCCAGAGCAAGGAGGGCTTCAGAGTGGTGGAAGAGCTGGGCTGCTATTTTCTTTCCTTTTTGTTCTTTTTGGTGAGGAAGACTAGCCCAGAGCAACATCTGTTGCCAATCCCTCTTTTTGCTGAGGAAGATTGGCCCTGAGCTAACATCCGTGCCCATCATCCTCTACTTTATATGGGACGCTGCCACAGCATGGCTTGATGAGCGGTGCATAGGTCCACACCAGGGATCTGAACCTGTGAACCCCGGGCCGCCAAAGCGGAGCGTGCAAACTTAACCACTATGCCACCGGCTGGCCGCTGGGCTGCTATTTTCGTGATGTGCACCTTTGATGAGTTGACTCCTTCTACTCCCTCTGGTGGCTTGTCCACTTCAAGTTTATCACCCTCCTGCTCCAGGCCCCACCTCAAGGAGTCCCCACTCCAGCTTGGCTCCCTTCTGTTGCTCTCTACCTTTCTCACTTCAGAAAAGACCAGGCTGAACAGGGGAAAAGCTAGAATCTGACAGAGACCTTGGCTCCAACACCAAAATGCTGAGTGACTCTGGCCGGTCCCCAGCCCTCTCTGGCTGCTGAGGTCCTTTTCAGTTGTGAGTGGTGGAAACTCAACCCTGTATGGTCTAAGCAAAGAAAGGGAATCGACTGACTGTCAAGTCCAGGGACGTTGTCTTCAGGCACGGCTGGATCCAGGTCTCAAAAAATGTCATCAGGAATCAGTCTCTGTTTTTCAGTTCTGTGTTCCTCTGTGATGGCTTCACTCTCATGCTGGTAAAGATGAGTCCCAGAAGCTCGACTTCCGTGGAAGAGTGAGCTCCTTCCCAACAGTTCCAGGAAAAGTTTCAGGATTTGCTTTAATTTTCCTGGCTTAGGTCCAAGACCAGTTCCTCATCCAGTCACTGTGACTCTGATTGCCGAGTCTTGGCTGTCATAGGGTTCTCAGAGCTATTGTTTTGGGGTTCAAAGCAGTTTGATGGTTAAGAACTGAGGCCGTCGATTGAGACAGACCTGGCCTCGGATCTCAGGTATGCCACTTAACGACCTGGGAGGCTGTGAGCAAGTGACTCTATCGTTCAGAGGCTTGGTCTCCTTATCTGGATAATGGGGATAGAAGAGAAGCCAGGTGAACGTGGTGTTTGGGATCCAAATGGGGAAGGACGTTTTCTGTCCCTGTAGCTGAGGGATCCCAATTGTTGTGCATTGAGAGTGTGGGGAGGGACCCCAGGGGGAGGATGAGCTGTTGGATGGGATTCATGGGGCTCAGGTCCGGGTCTCTGCCCTGCAAGTCCTTCCCTCTGGCCACCTGGAAGAGTGATTTGGTTCCTCTTTGTTCCTCTCCAGATTCGGAGCTCGGAGGAAGGTCTCCTGTACACACAGGGCCTGGCGAGCACCTATGGGGATGTGTGCTGCTGGTGGGTGGGGCCCTGGCATGCAGTCATCCGCATCTTCCACCCCACCTGCATCAAGCCGGTGCTCTTTGCTCCAGGTAGACACCCCACTGGCCACAGCTTGCCTGCTGCTGAGGTCTTTGTGCTGCCTCCAGCTGGGTGGGTGACCTGCGTGTGGACAGGAGGGGCTGTGGCAGAGATGCCACTGCCTCTGTCTTACCTGGATCCCTACTTGCTCGATCTCTGGTTGTGTCTGCTCACGCTGAGGGCCTGTCTGCGTGGTATCTGCTGTATGGCCATGTCTGGTCACGTTTGTGTTTCCCCTGGGTCCTGGTTACACTTGGTATACGTTATACTTGGTTATACCTGGTATATGTTACACTTGGTTACACCAGTATGTTATACTTCGTTACACCTGGTATATGTTATACTTGGTTACACAAGTATGTAACACTTGGTTACAGCTGGTATATGTTACACTTGGTTACAACTGGTATATGTTACACTTCGTTAGAGCTGGTATGTGTTACACTTGGTTACACCTGGTATATGTTATACTTGGTTATAGCTGGTATGTTACACTGGTTACAGCTGGTATGTTACACTGGTTACATCTGGTATATGTTACACTTGGTTACAGCTGGTGTATGTTTAGACTTGGATCAAATGGAGATAGTCCCAGTCACGTCTGGGGCTCGGCTGTGGCCAAGGATATTTGAGGCATGTCCGAGTCTGTCCAGGTCTTGTCTGATTCCACTTGAGATTGTCTAGGTCTCCTGCTGTTCATGTCTGGGTCACATTAGGTGTTTGTCTCAGGTCTGGGACCCAGGGTCCCTCTGAGAATGCCTGAGACCTTATGTGAGTCTGGTCTGAGGCAGGTCTTAGGATATTTCTGGGTCACGCCTGGTCCATGTATGTGACGTTAATGGGACTGCATTTAAGTCCTGTCTGCGGGACATGTTGAGGTCATGTCTTTGGGTCCATGTCAGAGTATGTTGTGTCGTGTCAGGGTGTGTCATGCACGTTGTTTCGTGACAGGACATGTTAACACATGGTGGGGCCATGTCAGATGTCCCAGGAGATGTCAGAGAGTGCTGGGCAGATGTGGTGTCCCAGGTCCCTGTAAAGGTGTTTTGTTGAGTGCTGGGCTGTCCTTGGGTGTTTAGAACATGTTGGACCATGTAGGAGCCATGTCAACATGCGCTGGGACATATTGTGCCATGTTGGGGTGCATCTAAGCACGTGGGGGTGTGTCTGTGGGCTCTGCCTTTGCTCTACTCTGTGCTGCAACCTGGTCTGGTTACCCTTCACCTCCCCCCTCCTCTCGCTTCCTTTGCTCTTGGCCCCACTCCCGCTATGCTGGGCTTGGAGGGGGAATGCAGACTCCTGGCTGGGCTCCACCTCGCATCAAAAGTCCCTCCATTCCCCCTCTCCATGGTCCCCGATGGTCGTCATTCATGTCAGCTGCCATCGCACCCAAGGACGCGGTCTTCTACAGCTTCCTGAAGCCCTGGCTGGGTGAGTAACAGCTTGTGAAGGGATTGGAGACAACCTTGGGGGCAGGGGGAGGTGCTGCCCTTGCTCACTCTCTGTGGCTGCCCCTACTAGGGGATGGGCTCCTGCTGAGTGCTGGTGACAAGTGGAGCAGGCACCGCCGCATGCTGACGCCCGCCTTCCACTTCAGCATCCTGAAGCCCTACGTGAAGATTTTCAATGACAGTGTGAACATCATGCACGTGAGTCTCCTGAGCCCAAGGTCCCAGCTAGAGCCTTGGGGGCGATGGGGGCTCACAGACATCTTGTCTGGAATTCTGGGTCTTCTGGGTGGTTGGGACTGTTGCTTTTCCTTTCTGAGCCCCAGTTTCCTCAGCTGTAAACTGGGGATAATGAGCCTCACATTGCAGAGTGGTCAAATGATGTAATGGAGTCATGTTCCTGGCACATAGTAGGCGCTCACGTGTTAGTTTCTATGTTTCCCTCACAGAAGCCTTGGAATCCTGAGACACAGTTGATGACAGTGATGAATATTTCATATTGAATGTTGAGTAACAAACCACTTCAAAATAATAGGGGTTTACTATTGCTAACAAGTCTATGAGTCAGTTGGCTGGTTCTTCTGGACGCAGATGGGGTCACTCATGTATCTGTGATCAGCTGTGGGTCAGTACCTTGCTGATCTGGGCTCAGTCCTCTCACGTTTGGGACGTGGCTGGCTGACCAAGGCGACCTCAGCTGGGACAATCCTCTCATGAGTTTCTCTCCCTCCAGAAGGCATTTCAGGCTTGTTCACAGGGCAGAGGCAGGGTTCCAAGAGACTGGGAGGAAGCCACACTGCCTCTTGAGGTCTAGGTTTAGGATGATCACCTCATCATTTTTACCACATTGGCCAAAGCAAGTCAAAAGGCCAGCCAGAATGAAAGGGTGGTGAAGTAGGCTCCACCTCCTCATGGAAGGTTTCAGTCACATTGCAGAGGATGTGGATGTAGGGAAGTGAAGCATTGGAGGTCAGGGATTTGTGAAGTGCCTGGTGTTTTTCCATACTTGCAAGCTGACAAGTAAGCTCGTTACTGTTTTGTGGATTCTGCCGGAAGACACGAGACTCCTGGGTCAGAGACAGAGGATAGCTTAATACTCATGGCAAAACAAGTGGCTCATGCCTCTTGTTGGTTTGCATTCTTTCTCCAAGTCACTAAATCCCATGAGGATGACACAGGTGGGCTTCAATGGATGCCTGCTCATGCGGTGTGTTGCATTGCAGGGGAGGAGCACTAGGTTTAGGGACCGTATGACTTTTATAGCAATTAGAAGCAAGCCTTATATTTGTCCAGGGGGAGGCATTACCTCATCCCTCAACATTGTTTGTTGCAAACACAACTCTGAGAAATGTCCCAGGTAAAGAACATCAGGGCCTTGCATTTTTTGGCATACCCAGCAGAATGTGAAGGGGTGCTCAGGGCCCATGGAGGACTACCACGACCAACATAGGAGATATTTACCTAAATATTTATAACAATAAAGATGATGAAAGCTAATGTTTATTGAGCACTTTCTATATGCCAGAAGCTCCCCGTCAATTCCATGACATACGTTGTCTAAGTTAATTTTCACAATCCTATAAGGTAGAGATGATTTTTCCCCATTACAGATGATGAAACTGAGGCACAGAGAGGTTAGGGAGCTTGCCTGAGTTCACACAGCTGGCAAGTGAACTAATAAGTGGAGCTGGGACACCTGTCTGGTTTGTCTGACGCCAAAGTAGGTCATCTTAACTGCTACTGTGGACTTAACAAGCAGAGCCCAGAGGAGGGCATTGAGCTGACCAAGGGCACATGGAGTGTAGGAGGCAGAGCCAGGATTTGAGCCCAGGTCCCCGGACTCCCAGCCATGGGGTCTTCATGTCCTAGTAGTAACAGTTTCCACTCCCGCTCAAGCCTGATTATCCCAGGGGACGGGTGCCGGGAGCCAAGAGGCTGGATCTGGGAGACCCTATCCTGGTGGTTGGGGTTGGGGAAGGTCTCAAGGGAGGCAGGTCCCAGCCCCAGCTCTTCCCTCTTCTCTGTCCAGGCCAAGTGGAAGCGCCTGGCCTTGGAGGGCAGCGCCCATCTGGACATGTTTGAACACATCAGCCTCATGACCCTGGACAGTCTGCAGAAATGTGTCTTCAGTTTCAACAGCAATTGCCAGGAGTGAGTCCTTGCCCAGGGCCTGGGAACATGGGCCATAGACCCACGGGGTAGATGGGGGGAGAACTGACAAGGGCACTCAGAAGGGCCTTTCTGAAGGAGAAGAATCAGAGATGGACAGTGAAGGACGGGGAAGGGGAAAGAGAAAGAGCAATCCTTTCAGGTAGGTATAAATGTTTGCTAAAGGCCAGGAGGCTAGGATGAGCAGAGCGTGTGCAACAATGAGGAGACGCCTGGGAAATGAGGTTGGAGGGGTAGAGCTTAATGACATTCAAAAGCCAGGCAAAGGGATATGAACTTTATCCTGAGGTTTCCAGGGAGCCATGGAAGGTGTTTGAGCAGATGAGGGTCATGGTCAAAGCTCAAGTTGGACATCTGACTCTAGAAAAGACCGACTGTCATGTAGGCACAGGTGATGTTGACACTGGATGCAAGGAGACCAGGGAGGGGCTGGGTCCATTGATCAGTTGGGAGAGGACAAGGTGTGAGCTGCGTGGACAGTTGTGGGAAGGAGAAGGGGCAGACACTGTGTAGGAGAGAGAGGAGAGAGGCGTGATGTCTAAGCTGTGCCCTGGGTACCTGGGGCATGGAGGCAGCTCACGGAGACAGGAGCCAGGGAGAGAAGAGTGTCTGGAGAGTTGTGGCTCCTGGATCATCCCCACCATGTATCTGTGGGGCCATCTGTTCCTGGATACTCAGTTTCCTCATGGGAGGTAGCTCCTGGCTTCCAGTGGGACGTGTTTCTTGGGCTTCAGGTGAGCTAAATTGTCGCCTCCCTTTATACCCTCATCCTGCAGGAAGCCTAGTGAGTATATCGCTGCCATCTTGGAGCTCAGTGCCCTTGTGACAAAACGGCACCAGCAGATCTTCCTGCACGTGGACTTCCTGTACCACCTCACCCCTGATGGACGACGCTTCCGCAGGGCCTGTCGCCTGGTGCACGACTTCACAGATGCCATCATCCAGGAGCGGCGCCGTACCCTTCCTGATCAGGGTCTTGATGACTTCCTCAAGGCCAAGGCTAAGGTCAAGACATTGGACTTCATTGATGTGCTCCTGCTGACCAAGGTGGGCTTCTCTGGGATCTGAGTTCAAGAGGTAGAATTGACCTTGATTTCAAATGTCAGATCAAAGAACTTGGACTCGATCTGGAGGGTCCTGGGGAGCCATGGGAGGTGCTTGAGGAAGGGAGGGACAGTTCAGGCATATGTTTTAGAGATGACTGGAATGCAGCCTCCAGGGGACTGCTAAGTCTAAAACTGAAACTGTGAAGGGTGTGCAATTTTATTCTACTTAAGAAGTTAGTCATATACATATGTTAGACTATATGTGTATATATATGTATGTATGTGTGTATGTATATATGTATCTATCTATCTATTTATCTGTCTATTATCTATCTATCTATCTATCTATCTATCTATCTATCTATCTATCTATC